AGTATTTTCTGTCACTGTTGGCAGCTATGACTTTGAAGTAAGAAAGGTCTTTCTCTACCTAGCATAAACGCCTCCAACGACGCCAGCGTGGATATAAAGCGAAGAATAACTGTTGCCAACAGGTGCTACTTTGGGCTCGGCAGAAAATTTAAAAGCTCAGCCCTCTCTCGGCAAACAAAAATCACGCTCTGCATGTCACTCGTCACGACTGTCCTTTTATATGGCGCAGAAACATGAACGATATCGTACAGGGATGCAAAGACATTGGGTGCTTACGAACTATTCTACGCAAGATCTACGGCTCTGCTCGCGTGGGCAACGGGTACCGAAGAAGATGGAATGACTCTGTACGAACTTTTTTTTTAACAACATGGAGTTAAGCGCATAAAAATACACCGATTGCGCTGGCGTAGACATGTTGTACGTAGTTAAAATAGTCTTCGACTCCGCACCCAAGGATGGGCAATGAAAGCAAGGGCATACGGAAACAAAATGGAAGGACCAAGTGCAGAAGCACGTGTCTGCATACGGAATGAACAATTGGCGCAAACAATCAAAGAAGCCAAGTTATTTTGATCTCGGTCCAAATCGAGAAACGGTTATATTTACTGCCAGAGAAGAACAAGAAAATAGCATTCTAATTCGGGACTGAATTCTCGGCACCGAGTTGTCCTGCATTCTAGTTAGCATTCATGGCCACACTTGAAGGTTTTTATAGAAAGTTCTCGTTATCGAGTCTGGCAAATTGTGCTACTACAGGAAAATTGGGGCATAGAATATTAGAGCAGTTCTGAACCTTTTCCTGCTGGGTTATAATTAAAAAAAAAAAAATCGTTGACTTTTGCTAGACAGCGGGAAGTAAGGCAGAAGCAACATTAAACCCAATGAATAAAAGCCGTTAAGTGCGATTTTTAATCAATTTCAATTTTATGGACAATCTTCTTTGATTGGCATCTTTTCTTCTTCGCTAATCTTAAAAAATTTGTAGGCACTTTGTTAGGTTATTTGAATAAATATATTTCGCATCTAATTTACATACATATTAAAGCAAAACAAATGAATGGGTGTGCATAAATTTCAGGTTACGCATTGGATTTAACTCCAAGCGATCTGCGAAAATTTAAAAGAGTTAAAATTGTTTGCTCAACTAGTTGAATAAAACAAAACTTTTTATAAAAAGGCACATTAGACTGGAACACGAAAAGATTTTTTACAATGTCCGACATTACATAAATTTTAACTCAATACTTATGTATATAAAAGAGTGTTAAAGTATAAGAAGAGATATCTCAGAGCGCTCACTGACGTAAACGTGCGTTAACGTGTCAGCTGACACGATCAAACTTATGAGAGCGACGGTTACGCGTACTTCTCTCTCTCTCTATCAACAGTAAATTTTATATGTTGCTACGTCAAACAGACACGGCATACGTACACGTCGGTGAGTGTGGGCACCTTAAGGCTTTTCTAGTTACTACAACTATAGAGATTAAAGTTTTGAGTAAAAAACTCAAAAGGAGAAAATAGTCAAAGACTCAAACTACAATCATTTCTAAAATTAAATTTTTGATTCTTTTGCGGTTTTTGCATTTTATTCCTTTTTTGCGAATTCCAGTACCTTTTCTATTCGCTGTTTTATAGGTTTTTAGGGCCTGGTAATAATAAAACACATTTTTGGAAATTTCCAAGGATATTCAATGATAAAGTTTTAAAGTATACATATTTTCAATACTTATTCGTCCTAGTGCACCCAAATTTTTTTTCTATTCTACACAATTTTCCTTTTAACTTTAACTGATTGTTATTTTACAATGCACCGAATCTTTTGAATAATTTTTTTATTCAATCTATTCTAGAAATTTCAAAGTCCTTTAAAAAAAAAAAATCCTGACGCCAGAGAGAAAAACTAAAAACGCAGTTTTACTATATTTGGCCCCCAGTTTTGTGAATATATTGATTTTTTCGTGTGTAAAATTTACTGTAGCACGGTGTAATAAAACCATTAGCGCACACAAGGTGTGGGTTTTGGGGTTCAAACCCCCCCCTAAAGCTAATAACCTCAAATACAAACTGTATCTTAAAGCTAAGAATCCAGCTCTCAAGGAAATTATTTATTAAACAAGTAGTTTTTAAGGAAAGAACACAACCGACTTCAAT